GTAGAACTGCAGAGATGTATGGCAATGTCATCGTCAGTCTCCAACACCCTTCCTTTCTTTCTGGTCCGTACTAGCCACAGTTTAAGGCAATGAAAGAGCCATTTGTTTCACTCGGTTTAAAACCAGTATTTCTAAAACCATCAGAGGAGCTGGCTCTTCTCATCAGAAAAGATTCTAGACTTATCACAAATTATGTCCAGACCAGAGGCCATGGTGAGGTGCAGTCCCTTTATTCTCCCTCCACCCCCATGCAGTAATTTTGTATCCCATTAAGATAAAAGTACAGTCCGATCTGGGATTATCTCAGAGCTATTTGAAGCCTTCTGCCCTACCACACAAGATGAAAGTATTAGTTCTTTCAAGAGAAGCCTAGATCATTCAAAATCCCCAATTAATGTCTAAACAGAAGCAAATATTTGACAGTTGATCTGGGTCCGATTATACACTGACTCCAACTGGTTTCCATGAAGTAATGAACAAAGAGCTGTTCCGGCTCCCATATGCAATGCCTGAGTTATTTGGTTTCACACATTGGTTAGATCCTTAAGCAAATGGTGTAGTAGGGAACTCCTCTGTGATTCTCCTATTGTAATCTACACTCAGACCTCCATATGCAACACATACACACATACAACACTATACATATACAAATGTTGCTTTGAGCATGGTTTTTTCTCTGGTGACTATGTTGCCCTTGGTCTTTATGAGATTTATCACTAGGCCATAAAGATGTCATAATCCTGGAATAGAAAGGAAGAGGTCATCAACTTTAACAGTTTCCAGCACATTCCTACTCATAGTAATATTAAGCATCATAAAACTCTCTTTCTAACACTAGACCGTGGAAGCTGGGTGCTACCCTGAAGCGTTAGGCCAACAAACTGTTGAATGCAAATTGCAAAGAGTCTGTAGTTTCTGCTAGAAAAATGTCTTCTACTTTTCTGTATAAACCCAATTCTTCCCCAAATTCCATTATCCTCTTCAGAATATGGTAACACTCAAGTTATAGCAAAAAAGAACTGTGGTAGAAAAGAAAAAGAAAGCAGAAGAGAAGATGGGAGAGAAAAATTTAAAAAATCAATAATAATTTTGGATACAATTTAAAATTAACTATGAAAAATTTAAAAATAAAAACATTGTAAAAGGCTAACCACATTATTGGAAAGATGGTAAATCCTACATTATAAATCAATACGAGGTACATTTTTTTTAAAGGAAGAATAGCCAACAAATAAAATAAATATAAGACAGTAAAAAAAAAAAAAAGTAAAGAAAAGGCAAAATCTAGAAATATGGAAAGAAACAAAATGTCAAATGCTTTCAAAAAGTCCTGAGGTCATGAAGTAAATATATTGGAAGGGGATTTGAAGAAAGTTTGAACAAAGGTAATATATTGTATTGTCCTTCACAAATCAAACACACTGTGATGTTAAGAATATAAAATGGAACATATAATTTTTTGATCATTAAAATGATCATGTTTGGCACATTAAAAAGTATAGTTGTCTCATACTATTGCAATTTAAAAAATTTTAATCAGGTACCGACTGTAGAATTTACTGCCAGTTTATATAGGAAACAAGATGAAACTCAAAAACAAAGGAAGCCATACATTTTATCACATAACAAATGATGTTAACTGGCCTTTTCTTTTTTCCTGTCTAGTAGATATAGAAATAGTTTTTAAAAGATACCAAGGAGCAGAAAGGAAAAGAAAACACTCACTGGATACAACTTTTGTCTTATACATGTTTGTCTAATTAGCAAACGTCAACATGAAGCATTAAGACTAAGGGTCTGGTTGCCACTGACTAGGTCTTTACTCTTAGGATGGTCTTTCTGTTCTTTGAGCCTCATGTTTCATCTTTAAAATGAGGGGGTTGAGTCTGGGCCCCATGGCTCACCGCTGTAATCCTAGCACTCTGGGAGGCCAAGGCGGGAGGATCGCTTGAGGTCAGGAGCTCGAGAACAGCCTGAGCAAGAGCGAGACCCCGTCTCTACTGAAAAAAAATAGAAAGAAATTAGCTGGACAACTAAAAATATGTAGAAAAATGAGCTGGGCATGGTGGCGCATGCCTGTAGTTCCAGCTATTCCCAAGGCAGAGGCAGGAGGATTGCTTGAGCCCAGGAGTTTGAGGTTGCTGTCAGCTAGGTTGACGCTATAGCACTCTAGCCCAAGGCAAGAGAGCAGTGAGACTCTGTCTCCAAAATAAATAAATAAATAAAATTAGGGGGTTGGATTAGAATGCCATTTATTTCTAATTTAACATTAGAGTTCAAAAACCACTGTAATAAATGCTGTGGTTTGTTCAATCCCAAAGTCCTGCAAGAATTCTCCCGATTGCTGGGATTGTTGGTAGTTGACAGCTCCATTCCTGGGAGCAGCCTTGCATCCAATGACTAGCTCATTAAGAGATATAAAAATTGGTCCCTCTTGCCTTAATTCAGGACATCTCTGAATGGTCACCCTAGCCCTAGAGTTCTTCATGGTATCAGCTGAGGTCTTTGTGGCAATTACATCACAGTTCAACTTCTCCCTCAGCCCAATTCTGCTTGCTTCATTTCCTAATGAGTTTTGAACCTGAGGGCATACCCCAATATACTTCATGCCCCAATAAATAAATCTCCATCACAGGGTCTGTTTTTTCAGGAACCCAACATGGGACAGGCACTAAATTGCCCTTACTCCTGTGAAAACAGCAATGCCTCCTGGAGGCAGAAATGCTTTAGTTAGTTTCATGTTTAGACTATAGCTATAATCAGGAATTATGAATCCAATATTATTATCTAATAGTTATGTTTATAAAACATGGTAAAACATTAAAAATGTATTTCAGAGGAATAAGAGGTAGAAATGTAGAAACACTACATATTAAGATTTTCATTCACTATTCTAACAGTAAAGAAATATATAATTTAAATTTTCAAGGGAAAAAACCAAATGAGTGAATTATTTTGAAGTCTTTGCTTCTCTAGAAAAAATAAAGACTAGTACTAATAACTGCAAAATAGAGAAAGCTATAAAGATGGAGGGAAACCTAAGTAAAATACAGAGTAAAAGAGAGATTTTACTAACAATGAAAGAAGAGGTGAACAAATAGCCTTAAGGAGGATAAAATTAAACAGAAAAGGAAATACAAATGAAAGAAAGTATTATACACTTTTTTAAAATGCTCAGAATTAGAGTGAAAGAAAATTAAAACATACGTAATACCATCACTCAAAACTCTTAAGTCTCATTAAACTAACCAAAGTTTTTATATTTTTTCCTGAATTTTATAGAATTCTTGTCTTTTAAAGTTTTCTTCTAAGAACTGGTAATTTCTTTTCTTTCCTCAATTTCTTTTTCTGTCCTCTCTATTGTTTTCCCCTCTAATATATAAAAGTTTCTACATTTCTAGTACATGTTCAGAAAGACAAGCCAAAACATTTCTCTTAGTGGGGCACCTCTCCTGCCCCCTTTGTAGTTTACTTTTTGTCTCCTTCTTGCATAAGTCAATTTCTTCTGCATTATTCAAATAATCAGAGAAACCTTAAATGGAAATTGACCTTAAAAAGATAAGTGGTGGGTAAACAGACACATATTCTCTTACATAAGTTTAAAATGACCTCCTCCACAATTGAAAAATGAACTGTCTACCATATAAATTGGATGTTTCAGAGATACTTTGAGCTTGGCAACAAGAGAAATCCTGGATCCTTGTAAAGTAGCAACAGCTGATTTAGTAGTCATGGAATGACTCTGCATCTGATCTGTGTCAGGATACCAGAGGGTCTTATTTATTGTCTCTTGTCTTGGTCCTTCTAAGTAGGTACTGTTTTCTGTTTACTTATCCCCTAGCTTTAGGCCCTGGAACAATGTTGAACATAGTGTCACTGGCCCTGGTGCCAGACAGGATCAGGGACTCTGAAATATTTACAGTTTCCCTTCTTCTGCTTCCATAAATGAAATGGACAGTCTGAATGGAGAAAATCAAGGGCCAGCTGGCTTACAAACACAACTGGCAGCAAAACACTTGAGCCCCATCCAAGAGCTGCTGTTTAAAGAGAGGCCATTTAAAGAGCAAATTCCAACTACATCAATAATGGTTCAGGACACTAGTTGAAGAATGAAGCAGTAAAATTTTACTTAAAATGACTTTCACTTTCAAAGTTTGGAACCTCTTACAGGACCCATGTTTTAAAGAAACTTTTTAGTTTTAGCATCAATCCCTTAAAATAGCCAAATCTTTATATCCATCCCACATGACAAATAATACTATATACTGTGATATGTTAAACAAAATCTGTGCCATGGTGGCCAAAGTCTTATTTTTGCTCAATTTCATTCATGCAAAAACAAATAAAACTGTTAGAAAATTGAGAAGGAAAAAGAGAGAAACCAGAAATGGCATAAGAATTTAGATAGCATAGCATGGAAGACAGCCAGACACTTAAACTAATTTGAGAGGTTATTAATATATCATGAGGCCAATTGACAAACAAAGAAAGGCAGATTTCCTTTTTTAAAAAAAATAAAAATATTACTCCAGCTTTGGTATTTTAAAAAATGCAATAATCTTCTTGGGGGGAAAATCACGTTGAAGCACTAAAAATCAAGTAGATAAATGCTAATGATTTTTTCCCCCTTGCTGGGCTCTCATAATGACAAGCATGAGCTGGCCATTTATTTAACCCTATAATCTCTGATAGGTGCCAAATCAGAAATATGCATAACACCATATTCAGAGAGATAGATGTATAATCCAAACAACTGTGTACACTACTAGGTCATCATTTATTCACAGCCCAGGAGCAGATGAATTTGAAGGTGATGTAGTAAAGCTGCCTCCTTTTATATATGCATGCATGCATAAATGATTGGAAAGCGAAATGGAGGCGGGACCTAGATAAACAGCAAAGGGCTTCAGCCATGTAGGCGCATCCAGAAGCAGTTCTCTGATGCTACAATCCTGCAAACGGATAAAACCAGTAGCTTGAGACCCCCTGGGAAGCATTACCTCTATATAGGGCACAATTTTGCAGGAGAAGTCCTCCAGCAGCCACTTCTTGGTGAGCTCGTGGAAGATGACGAGCGGAAGACAGAAGAAGATGATGAGAAAATCCCAGAAGGCCAGGTTGGCCAAAAGGGAGTTGGAGATGCTCCGCATGTAGTAGTTGTGACACACGATGCACATCACCGCCAGGTTGCCGATGATGCCGGTGCCAAAGATCACCACAGACAAACACATGACCGCGTAGGCTCCGTAGGACTCCTGGGTCAGCGGGTAGAAGGGGTTCTTCAGTCTCACGCGCCGGTTCGTGCTGTTCCCCCGGCGGGGACCCCCGCGCTCATGGACCCCTTCACCCGAGGACCCATTCTGGGCCAGCGCCCTGCCAGGAAGTGCAATTGTCCGCACTTCGTGCCCCGCCAGCCCACTGACCGTCTTGGATAGGGGCTTGTGGCGGGAACCCTGGAGTTTCCTGGCTCTCCTTGGCCAGTACAAAAGATCGCTGGCTCCTGGCACCGTCTTCACACTCTGCTCCTGGTTCCACCCGGAAATGCCAGTGCTTCTGGGACCCTTCTGCTCTTCCTCTGATATCTGAAGTAAGAGTTGGAGGGCGGTAGGGTCTCCTCTCCCCAAAGTTTCAGGGGGAAACTGACCGCGCGCACCTTTCCACCTCCAGGGGCTAGGCGGTCTGGTTGGAGGTCCCGAGGGTTCGGCTGCAGACACCTCCGCCCCTCTCCCGGCACCTGGGTAATCGCCTGGGGCCGCCGGTAGGTCCCGGGAGGGCGCGGCGAGTACCGCTGCCTCTGGCTTCTCCCAGGGCGCAGGGGCTCGAACAACGTCCCTTGCAGAATTTCCCGGTCCCCAGGCGTCCCTGCTGCGGTGCTGGATCAGTGTAGATGAACAGCTTTGCCCCAGACAGGTTTGGTTCCTGGGTGCAGGGCCGGACCCGAGGGCAGAAGAGGCAGAAACCTTGAGCAGTAGCAGAAGCAGCAGCTGTGACATGCGGACGAGAAACGCGCCCGTAGCCCGCATGGCTTGGCAAGGGCGCACCCAGCAGCCGTGGCTCCTTGCTTAGGACCGACACCTGCTGCCTAAGTTACTGCTGCGAGTTAGACACATGTCACATACTCACCCCCGCCCGGGCAACGGGGGACCGGAGATTACCAGGAGGGTGGAGGATGGGTCTTGGGGTCACACACACTCCTACAATCCTTCCTCGTTTGGTGTCCCGTGCATTTCTCAGACAAAATCCAATCCGAGCGAGGTGTACCCTCAACGTTTCACAGAGGGAATGGCTACTCTCGGTGGCCGACCTTGAAAAGTTGCAATCAACACCTGACTCTTGATTAATGTTGCAATTGGGGAAAACCGAACGAAGCCCCACGGTCCTCCCTGTCTTTGGGTGGTTGCCTTCTCGTAACAGTTGCTCTGCTTATTTACATCCTTTCCATACTCCTTTATCCGGTTGCGAGCCAAGGTCTCTAGAGGGAAAGAAAAACAAGTCCCCCTCTCCCAGACGACAGGCAGTCACAATGCCGCTCCCCGCTCGCTGGAAACAGGTTGCAAACAGCAGACTCAGCGCCGATGCGCAAGCGAAACTCTTGCCCCACCTAACCCCGGCGACTTGAGACGCTACTGCTGCCAGGAGAAGCGGGATTCCAAACCCGCGGCCACTGCCAAAGTTGCTTCTCCTCCAGCTCAAAGTTGATGAGAGGGCGTCGCGGGCTGCTGGGCGGCTTGCCCGGGCGAAGGGAATCGTGGGGGGCAGCAGAGCAAGAGCGCGTTGCTCGTCTGTGGACTGTGCCGCTGGCCGCAGGAGCTTGTGGCTGCCACGGCGGGCGCAGCCGGGCGGAGCGTGCGGTGCCTGGAACCGCCGCGGGCTAGGCGGCGCGCCGCCGGGAAAGGGGAGGTGGCCCGGCCTCTCCCCGCAGCTCCAGCCGCTGCGCGCGCTCGCGAAACCCGGCGCTCCGCTCCCTGTCTCCTCCCCCCCCCTCCTCCTCTTCCTCGGAGAGAGGTTGGTTTGTGGGGAGACGGGATCCCCTGGTGGTTTACCACTCACTAATCCCACACACGTTTCATGCTTGCCGTTTGTAGCGGCTTTCACTCGTCCGAGCTGGAAGCGGCGAGGGAACAAGGGCGGAGGCGCACAGCCTGGGCGGCTTGAGGCTAGGGATGGGCGTGACGGGTTCATTCCCCAGATGTAGAAACCAGCCTGACCGGTCCCGGAGCCGGGTGGGGCGAATGGGAAAATGGGCGGGGTGGGGGAAGGAGGAAAAGGAGAGGGAGGAGAGGAGTGGGGGAGAGACCAGCGCGATCCCCTCCAATGGGCCGCAGCCGGTGCGCATGCCCAGGCCTCAGCCCGGGAGGGAATAGTAAGGTGAGGCCCTCACCTCCTTAGGTATTACCAAGAGCTGAGGCAGGAGGGGAAAGGAGCTCCGAGGTTTCAATTATAGAGAATCACCTGTTCTGGGGGTGGGACACAGAGTGAGAATGCTCAGGATGTACTGAATTAGAAAGCATCCTGCCATAGGTTGCTAGGAATCACTCAGAGCACAATGAAAGTAGCTTTGTGGGATGAAGTAGAGGGAAAAGCCAAGAGGGGAGAAATGACTTGAACAGAACCCCCAGCATGGCTGATCATGCCTTTCCAACCTTTATACTATACCCCACAAACCTGTCACAGCTGTCAAGGAATAGCTAATAAAATGGACAAACATCAGACAAATTGTTTAAGAGAAAACAATAGAAGACGAAATAAACACATTTTGATTTTTATTTTTAAGCAACACATCTAGAGAGACGAGAGAAAGTACAATGAAAAATATGATGCCAATTGTGGCAAGTAGAATAATGGTCCCCCAAAAGATGCCAACATCCTAATTCCTGATACCTGTTACCTAACAGGACAAAAGGGACTTTGCAGGTGTGATTCAGTTAAGGCTGTTGAGATGGAAAGAGTGCATGGACAATCCGGGTGGGTTAGAGTAAAAACAAGGCCACTGGCCGGGTGCGGTGGCTCACGCCTGTAATCCTAGCACTCTGGGAGGCCTAGGCGGGAGGATTGCTCGAGGTCAGGAGTTCTAAACCAGGCTGAGCAAGAGCGAGACCCCGTCTCTACTATAAACATAAAGAAATTAATTGGCCAACTAATATATATAGAAAAAAATTAGCCGGGCATGGTGGCGCATGCCTGTAGTCCCAGCTACTGGGGAGGCTGAGGCAGGAGGATCGCTTGAGCCCAGGAGTTTGAGGTTGCTGTGAGCTAGGCTGACGCCACGGCACTCACTCTGCCTGTGCAACAAAGCGAGACTCTGTCTCAAGAACAAAAACAAAAACAAAAAACAAAAAAATCAGGCCACGAGCCAAGTAATCTCTAGAAGCTGGAATGAGCAAAGAAAAGGCCCTGCTGGCCCATTTGAGACTTCTGACCTTCAGAACTATAAAATTACAAAGTTGTGTTGTTTTAAGCTACTGAATTTATGGTCCTTTGTTGCAGCAACAATAGGAAACTAATAAACCAATTAATCTGAAAATGTAGACAACAGGAACAACTTTATAGAAAAATATAAACTGCCAAAAATAGCTCAAGAAGAAAATTTTTAGAAATCTAAATAGAACTATAACATTTAAAAATCAAGTTGTTCATCAAGATCTACCCACAAAAAAGCACGAAACCTTAACATATTCTAAGGAATAAATATACATGTATATAAAATGTTTAAAAGTTACCCAATTCATTTTATGAAGCCAGAATTATCCTAATATCAAAATTAGACAAAGGGAGAAAGAGAATAAAATGTAGACTAATCGCGTATATTCACTTATACATTAATTTATTCATTTATATACACAAATTGACTCTCAAATTTATTAGTTCATTAAAGAAATATTATGCTCAAGTTACTTAGGGTAGAGCAGTGAATAAAATGAAGTTCTGTTCTCACTGAATGTATATTCTCTTGTATATTCATAAAAAGGACAAAACTAGACTTATATGTCTCAAGAACACTGAATCTCAGAAACAAACATGTAAGAGAAAAAAGCAAAATGCAATGCCTTAACTATACTATGCTAGTATTTTTGTAACTCTTAAAGGCACATAAAACAATACAGTAAATCATACATTATCTGATATATCATAAAAATATAAATGAAATGAATGAGAAAATAGCTGAATGAAAAAATATACATAAACTTCAGAATATTAGTCCCCTTAAGTAATAGAGGAATGAATAGTAATAGGATGGAAGAAAGCTTCTAGTGTAACCATAATATTTTGCTTTTTAAAACAGAATTTAGAAGGAGGAAATCCAGGTTAATTATGGAGCAAGACAAAATAAAACCAGTGATATTGCCTCCTGTGTCAGTTTATTAGCTTGGAGTTTGAGTTATACTTGTAAGCTAGTTTTCTATCCTTTTTTTGCTCTAGACCACATAAATGTATCACTAATTTCCACTCCTACCCAGAAAGAAATCAAACCTAAACAGGGAAATATCCCTTTATATCCTTCCTAGAAGGTCCATTGTAATCAATGCATCCTTGGCCTGAGTTGGACATGATTTTCAAAGTAGTGGGCTACAGAACTCAGCTATCTAGCTTAGAGAGTGGCTGGAGAAAATACTGCCTGTGCTTATCTGAGATGATATCTCTTTATTCATAAATTGCTCCCTCCTTAGTTGAACAATGATGCCTTCCTACTTGGATGGCTGCCAGGTTCTGGCTCCTTAAGTAAAGACTTGTTATGACCATGAATAAAATCATAGCTCCGGCCACTCTGTTGGAGCCTGGGACAATACCAATTAATTGTCTCTTTAGAAACACAATTTTCTCAGCTGTAAAACAGGGATACTGATACCTACTCTCAGCTCTGCCCACCCAACTTGTTATGTTGATTAGGTAAATATGAAAAGACCTCATTAAGTTTAAAATATTTACTGTTGTTTGTTTTTGTAGCTCAAATATTTATTGTTATTTTTTGTGGGGTTTTTTTAAGCAAAATTCAAATGCCATAAAGAACGTATAAGCCTTGAAGAAATTATTATTGATAAATAAAAGTCTAAAGTAATAGGCTTATTTCATAAGAAAATGTAGAATGCATTCACTGCAAAAAGAAAAACAAATGTCTTTCAAATTTTTTCCAAAGCTTAGCTCAGCTATAACTATAATTTTTTAAATGGGAATAGTCACAACCCATCTATTTCTGAGTTTTTACTTTAGAAATATAGATCAGAGAAGAAGTTAGCTAATCACTGTCTGGTTTAAATTCGAGGTCATTTATCTGCACAAAAAGAACTGACTGAACATGGATTTTTCTGTGTCAGCATTTCATAAGGTTTATACTACATAATATTGATTTTTTTATACAAAAGAGAACATGTAAATTATTACCTGTCTTGGCAATTTTATAAAATCTATTACACTCCATTTAATGTTTGGTGTGCTGAAATAAGACACATTACAGAACAAGAGAAATGACTATTTCAACTTTTAAGATACATCATTGAACAGAAGTTTTACGCAACACTCAATTTACTTCTCTAATAATTTTTCTTTCCTTTTTGCTTCAGAGAATTCAAAAGGACCATTTTTCAAACAGAAATGGTGACATGCAACCAATAGATTATTATTTTCTAAGGCTCAAAATATGTCTTTTTTACAGTTTGTGGTTACAAACTCTCTGTTTCTAAATTACTAATTGTTAGTTTGGAAGACTCCATTGACTGCCTACTCTATACCCTCTCTTTTGCCGTATTCAGCCAGTCCCCAGTGTTTTTGGCACCAGGGACTGGTTTCATGAAAGACAATTTTTCCAATGACGGGGTGGTGGGAGTTGTGGGGGAGGGTTGGCAGGCAGATGGTTCTGGCATGAGTCAAGCACATTACATTCAATGGGTTTCATTTTCACTTTCTTAATAATGTCTTTTGATGACAAAAGTTTGTAAATTTTCTATTGTCCCATTTATCTTTTTTTTTTTTCCTTTGTGCTTAGGTGTCCTTTTCAGGTAATCTGCCAAATCAAGATCAAACAATATTCTGTATTTTCCTCTAAAGCAGTGGTCACGATGAGGAGCAGCAGTAAATACAGATGAAGCTTCCCTTGCTCACCCACCACTTACCTCCTACTGTGCGCCCAGTTGTTAACAGGCCACAGACCAGTATCAGTGAGTGGCCCAGGCGTTGGGGACCAAAGCCATATATGAGAGCCTGATTGGAATTAATGGGGGGTGAGGGGTGGGATGGGGTGGGGAATAGTGGTACTGTGTTTGGGATATAATACCAATATGGTTAGGTCTATCTTAAAATTCAAATATCGAAATTAAAGTATTTGAAATTAAAAATGAAACAAAAATTATTAAAATAGACCTTTGCATATCCCAGACAAAAATGTAGCTGTTGGGCTACGTAAAATATGTTTGAACAACATTTAGACAAATACACTGTATTACATAGCCAAATCTAATCTTTTTGTTTTAATTGGAAAGAAACTTGAATGCAAAAAGGGATAAAATTAAGGATGAATTAACACATATGTAACCAAACATTTTCAACCTTTCACAGCTTTTTATGGAGGCAAATGCTTGTGAAATGCAGCCCCACCTTTTGATCAAAATCCACTGAAAAGCAAAGACAATTTTGAAACTTAGTTGGCTCTGAGAAAATAATTTGAAGGAGCTTAGACTGTGTTAGAGAATTTAATCAAGTAAATAGGTATTGATTTAGAATATACCATGACAAAAGTAGCTCTAGAATAGGGGAAGTATGGAGTGCCACAAAAATATAAAAATGTTTCTTACACAGTCTGGAAAGGGGCAAAGTAGATGTCCTTGAAGAAGA